ATCGGGGCGTGTCAGTGTGACGTAGATTTTGGCGCGGCGTCAGCTCGTTTTCCAGCGATCGTTCCCAGTAGTGGCGAGCAATTATTGGTGGGAAATGAGCTTATCCGTCTCCAAAATCCAAGTCTCACTGCCTTGTGATTCGGACAGTCAAAGGCGATGACTCGGTCGAAACGATAAGGGGGAACGGACAGTTAATCGTGATTTGTCGCATTCGTGGCGAAGGGCGTATCGTGCGGCGAGGCGTGGCAGATTCTCAGAGTGAATCAGTTCGCCCACTGGAGCAGGGAAACTCACATGAACACGGGGTGATACAAGACTCCATGATGGGCAATATCGAGTTTTCTCGTCCCTTCAACATTCACTTCTAACGGCTAGACAGGACAACACGCCCGTCAGACACGACGTCGCCCGTCACGCCCACCAGCGCGGCACTCACGATTGTCTTGTCTCGGCTGCCTGGGCATCTACATACCCAAGGCTATATTAAATGAACGTTCCCTATAATGGTCTCGGCACAGAACAAATGAAAGGCTCAGATCTAACACGGCCAGGTCTCAATAGGAGAGAAGCTAGACTTCTCCAAAGTGTGCGGCTGAATTTGGAGTTCCTATTCAATCACACATGTTTAGACTGCCAGAACGCCCTGAAAACGCAATTCGCTGGAGGAGCTGTGTCTCCGGGAACGTTCGTAGCAAGATGTGATGTTGTGCTAGGTACGAAGTAAATTGCTTACTTGGTACTTCCTAAGCATACTTTTACCTTCAGGAGAATCTCTTCACCTGCTCTGTACCTTCTTAACTTTCTGTTCTTAGTTTGAGTGCAAAATACGTGGAAAGGTTGTTCAGGCGATTACGAAGTGTTTCAATGCGATGCAAGACGTCAGTATTGCTACTGTGTGGATACAAAGACGGGGAGGGAAGTACAGAACACGCGCAAGCGAACAGGAGAGAATCAATACATCGTATTGTGGAAGATCAAGTGAGTTCATACCCTGTGGGCCACAAGTGAAGTACTGCCGTTCATGGTGGTTGATACGGCGTTATAATAAACCAGTAATAAACCAGCCGGCTTCGCCGGCTGACGCCGGCGCGCCTCTTTCTGAGATACAACCGGGAGGGCGTGGCTCCACCGCGCTTACCTTTTTCCACACATTTCAAAGGTATTCTGGAAGCGTTTTGCGAACTTTTTAAAATTGGCTCCACCCCCTCGGGCACGCTCCGCGCACACCGTATGCCTCGCGCTTCTCAACTG